TTCTCAGGCGTGTGATAGCACAGATCTCAATCATCCATTCGCGCACTGTGCCAATATCTCCGATGGAGAGATGCAATTGCGTCCCTCCCTCTCCTTTCCTCTCTCCCTCCCTCCCCCCTTCCACGTTTTCACTCACAAACTCACTCACTCACTCTCTCTCTGCTGTCCCTCCTGTGCCATCCTCAGGTTCTGCTCAACGCGCATGCGTGTGTGCCTTTGCCAAAAAATAAAACAAACAATTTGTTTGCCCACCTTCTTTCTGGCATTCATTTCTCCCTCGTCCTCCGTCTGCCCGCCCGTCCACCGACTCATCACTCCTTCTGATCCTGGTCCTGCTCCTCGTGTCCCTCTTTGTACCTGCCCCTACGTCCTCTATCGCCTTGAGTGGGTGTGTCGGTGTGCGTTTGTCTGTGCGAATTTTGATGATGACTGGTGGGAAATGCATGTAGTCTTTTGCCTAGTACAGCATTGCCACTAGAATAGATGATGATGCTATTGCTACTGCTGCTGCTGCCGTTCCTGCTGTTTCACCACGTCCTCGAGCATCTGCTCCTCGTTATTGATATTGGGTTGCATCAGCGGCAGATGTGGAGGCGGTGTTATTTGTTTTTGTTGTTGGTGTTGTTGTCGTTGGTTGTTGGTTGTTTCTTTAGGTGTGGAATGGAGGGGTTGAGATGGTGGGTGGATGATGGGCAAAGCGGTGGGGGTGGAGTGGCGTTTTTCAGTGTCGCAAACGGTGATCGGTGGAACTCGCGGAGAGTGAAGGCGTTTGGATTAGTGCGATGGCGTTGGTATTGCAGGTGTCATCACTTGTGAGGAGTGGTTGAGGGAGTGGAGGTGAGGTGGTTGGTTGGTCGGCTCGGAGCCTGTTTTGGTGGTGTCGAGTAGTGTGTGGTGTTTTCTCTTCAGTGGTGAGGGTCAATGAGAGGGGCGTGGAGAAGCATTTGTTGGGGAGCGTTTTCAGTGGGTATTGAAAGAGGTGGTAGTGGGATGAGTTATTGATGTCGTCGAATTGGGGGTGTGGGTGTGGGTGTGGGTGTGTGATGGTATTTTGTGGGGATACGTGGAGAAGGGGAATGGGGGTGGGAGGTGGGGACTGGTGATGTGGTTGTTGCAAAGTGGGGTAAGGTTGAGGATGGAGAATGAGGGAGGTTGGGGAGGGAAGTTGGAGGGTGGTGGCAGACGCTCTCGCTGCTGTCGTGCATCGTGTCGAAGCAAGACCGGTGTGAGGAAAGTGAGGAGAGAGGTGAAGAGGCGAAGGTGGGGAAGGGGTGGTGTAGAGGGTGGCACGTGGTGTAGAAGCGTCAATGTTGTTGTCCATCATTACACTGGCACGACACATGCTACTTACTATTTATAAGTGGGACGACGAGTTGTTAGTTAGGAGAGGATGGGTTAGGGAGGGATGGAGAGAGGGAGGTGATGGTTGTGGAGGGCGTAAGAGGAGATGAGGTAGTGTGTGGTCAGTGGAAGAAGTGATGCGTTGGTGAATTGAGTGAGAGGTGGTGACAGGGTTGACAACATTTACACTTTGACACGTAACTAATTGGTGAATAGTGCTGCCACCAAATGTCACAGTCACGTCCACCCATCTGCCTTCCTGTTTCCTTTCACCATCACTATCAGTCTCATTCAGTGTTCTATACCTCTCTCTCCACTCTCCACATCTTCAGTCCCATCTTCCCTGCCTTCATTGCCCTACCGCTAGTCGCGTAACAGTTCACCATCAACTTGACCAACTTGGTGCATACGTATGCATCTCAACCAGTGTCATCAGTGGAAAGGTGGTACTGCCAATGTGCAAGAGTAGCACTGGTCCAGCAGCAGTAGCATCGTGTGAGTG